ATAAAAAGTTTTGGGAAGATGGAATTATGACATTGCCTGAAAAATGGCAGAAGGTAGTGGAACAAAAGGATGAACACGTTGTTCAATAAAGTTCTTGGTGAAAATGAAGAATGTGTCTTTTATTTTTACTTAAAAACCGAAGGCACTTTTTGGCCAACCCAATATTTGAAGGTTCATCTGTGTCACAAGAAGGATCAGTATTTCATTCCTTTTTATTGTGTGGATCCTACCACGCTTCATTTATCTGTTCATCAGTTGATGGATAGTTGGGTTGTTTCCTCCTTTTGACTATTATGAATAATGCTGCTATGAACATTTGTGTGCAAGGTTTTAAGTAAACATATGTTTAATTTCTCTTAGGTATATACCTAGGAGTAGAATTGCTGGGTCATATAGTAACTTAGTATTTAACATTTTGAGGCACTGCCAAAATACATTTCAAAGTGGGTGCACTATTTTTTTTCTTTAATTTATTTTTATTTATTTATTTATTTTTGGCTGAGTTGGGTCTTCGTTTCTGTGCGAGGGCTTTCTCTAGTTGCGGCGAGCAGGGGCCACTCTTCATCACGGTGCACGGGCCTCTCACTCGCGCAGCCTCTCTTGTGGAGCACAGGCTCTAGATGCGCAGGCTCAGTAGTCGTGGCTCACGGGCCCAGTTGCCCCACAGCATGTGGGATCTTCCCGGACCAGGGCTCGAACCCATGTCCCCTGCATTGGCAGGCGGATTCTTAACCACTGCACCACCAAGGAAGCCCAGGTGCACTATTTTTCATTCCCACCAGCAAGGAATGAACATTCCAATTTCTCCATATACTTGCCAATACCTATTATTGTCTGTCATTTCATTATAGCCATCCTAGTAGATATGAAGTGATATCTTATTAAGGTTTTGGTTTTCATTTCCCCAGTAGGTAACGATACTGAGCATCTTTTCATGTATTTACTGGCCATTTGTATAACTTCTTTGTAGAAATGTCTATTTAGATATCAGTATTTTGCTCATTTTTAACAGGGTTATTTGTCTTTTTATTATTGAGTTATAAGGGTTTCTAAAAATTTATTCTGAATATAAGTCCCTTATCAGATACATGATTTGCAGATATTTTCTCCTAAGGTCAATTTTTTAGTCAAGAGTACCTGATATGTGCTTCATGTTTCACTTTATCAGAAGAAACATAATCAGTGGCATACCAGATGGTGAGGGCAGTGGGAGTAGGACTTGACAGGTGCAAGCAATAGGGCTTCTATTATCTGTAGGAAGTTTTTAAAGAATAAGAAAACCAACTAAAAGCCAATCTGCTTTTTATTACTCTCCTGAGCCAGCAATTCTAAACAGTGTCAGGGATGGAATTCCTCTTTCTCAGGAATTCCAGTCCACCCCATGGTGTGCCACTGCCCCAAATGTCTGGTTCTCCTACTCTTAGTAATGCTCAGCTCCATTGTGGGTTCTGGTACTATCAGCCTCATCCTTCCATTGAAAGCTTCCCATCCATGTATTATCTAATTGTTGTAGCATCCATTTACAACTATGGGCTGCATTGATTATTTAATTAGGGATTGAAAATGATAATTTTCTAATTTATTATTTATTCTTCATATTAGCTAGAATTCTTCTATAAATAAGAGTTTTCTCTCATGAACCACTTGGTTTCTCTGAAATACAATTCACACAGAAAGTAGTCCTTTAAATATTAGGGGCTAATAATATTTGTTGTCTATAACTTGCAGATATTTCCCCTAGTTTGTCATTTGTCTTTTGAGTTTGATATGATGTTTTTCATCATGCAAAGGCTTTTATTTTTATGTGGTCAAGTTTATCAGTCTTTACCACTTCAAGATTTTGAGACCGATTAAGGAAAGTGTTCCCTGTCCTCTGGTTAAAAGGAAATCACCTGTGATTTCTTCTGATCTGCTATGGCTTCATCTTTACATTTAGATCTCTAAACCATTTGGAATTTATCCCAGTATTTATTATGAGGAACAGATTCAATTTTATCCTTTCTCCATATGGCTATCAAGGTGTTCCAAACACCATTTTCCTTTTCCCTTTCATATTGACTATTTTTTAGAACAGGTTTAAGTTCACAGCAGAATTGAGCAGAAAATACAGAGTTCCTGTATACCCACTCTCCCAGCCACCTTCAAATCCCCACCTGGCACCAGAGTGGTATATTTGTTATAATAGATGAAGCTACATTGACACATCATTATCACCCAAAGTCCACAGTTTACATTAGGGTTCACTCTTGGTGTTGCACATTCTATGCGTTTTGACAAGTGTATAATGACATGTATCCACCATTATAGTATCATGCAGAATGGTTTCACTATTCACTGCCCTAAAAACCCTTTGTGTTCTGGCTGTTTGTCCCTCCCTCCCCTCTGTCCTGGAAACCACTAATCTTTTTACTGTCTCCATAGTTGTGCCTTTTCCAGAATGTCATTTAGTTGGAATTATACAGCATGTAGCCTTTTCAGATTATCTTCCTTTACTTAGTAATATCCATTTAAAGTTCCTCTATGTCTCTTCATGGCTTGATAGCTCATTTCTTTTTAGCACTGAATAATACTCCGTTGTCTGGATGTACCAGTTTTTTTAATCCATTCACCTACTGAAGAACATCTTGGTTGCTTCCAAGTTTTGGCAATTATGATTAAAGCTGCTGTAAGCATCTATGTGCAGGTTTTTGTGTGGGCGTAAGTTTTCAACTCCTTTGGGTAAATACCAAGGAACATGATTGCTGGATCTTATGGTAAGAACATGTTTAGTTTTGTTAGAAACTGCCATAATGGCTTCCAAAGTAGCTGTACTATCTTGCATTCCCACCAGCAATGAGTGAGAATTCCTGTTGCTCCACATCCTTGCCAGCATTTGGTAACATACACCATTTATTTTTAGTATTAATTTTTCCCCCATTGATTTGAGATCTGTCTTTATTACCTACTACATTTAAATATTGGGTCTTTTTCTAGATTTTCTATTTTGTCATTGGTTTGTCAGTCAATTTGTGCACCAATACCACACTGTTTTAATCGTGAAGGCTTTATAAATTGTTTTAATATCTAGGAGAGCTACCCTTCCTACTTTGCTTTTCTTGTTCAGACTTTTCCTGGCCATTACTGCTGTTTTATTCTTCCATAAGAACTTTAAAATCAAGGTGTCTAACTCCAGATTAAAGAACAGACACTAAATGCTCTTTTTTATTGGAATCAAGTTGAATTTATAAGCAAAGCTAGGAGAATTAACATCTTTATGATTGAGTTTTCAAACCCAAGAACATGGAATGTGTTTCCATTTTTTTAAGTCTACTTTTCTATCTTACAAATATGGGGTGTTTTTTGGTGGTTGTACTCATTTGCATATAGTGCACAGTTCTTGTTAAATTTATGCCTTGATATTTTTATTGTTGTTTATAAATAGAGTCCTTTCTTCCAGTATATTTTTCAACTGGATATTGTATATATTAAGGTTATTGATTCTGTATTTAGTTTTATATACTGCAACTTTCCTAAATTATCTTATTTGTAGTTATTTTTACGTTATTTTCTTTTGAATTTTTTAGACATAATTATTATCATTTGCAAAAAGAAATAGTTTCACCTCTTCCATTCCAGCTCCTGTGCCTTTAATTTTTTAGACCTTGTCTAATTGCATTAGGTAATATGTTCAGTACGATGTTAAATGGTAGTGGTGATAGTCTTGTTCCCGACTTTATTGGGAATAACATTCAGTAAGAATCTGACTTTCGAGTTCACAGACACACACACAAACACACCATGAATAAGGTACTGTTCCAGCACATTCTGTTTTCAAAAAAAGGATAATGGCACACAACGTCTGAAGAGCCAGTGTGTGTATAATTGGTCTTGAATGAATCTAGGTTTCTCAGTGAGAGTCAAGAACTGCAGGGAAATATAGAAGTCTAAGAGATAACGCTAAAACATCCATTAATTCCTACTTTATTGAGTGTTAGTTGAGTACTTTTTTAATCACAAGTGACTGTTAGATTTTTTTTGTGAAATGCCTTTTTGGCATCTGTGAAAATAACATAATTTTTCTCATGTATTAATATGATGTATTATTTGATTCCTTAATAATTAACCACCCTGCATTTGGTCATAAAGTACTGTTTTTTAGATATGTTGTTGGATTCTCTTTGCTAGTATTTTATTTAAGATTTTTGTATCTGTATTCATAAGGGAGACTAGTCAGTCATGTTCTTTATGTTAATTGCTTTTCTTTTACATAATGAAAGTTAGGTCCTAGTATACGAGAGAAAACCATCAAATAGTCCATTAAGACCAGTAAATCCTTAGATTCTAATGTGATTACTTTATACTCTAAACCAGAAATTTCCTGGCACTGTGGAATGCTGGTCTACAGCTCCAGCCTACAGTCAGTCCTCACTTTTATATTTGTCCTTCTGTCTCTTGGGTTATAAACTTAAGTTTCTGAATGCACAGCATCCTTGAGTGCCTTAAATCGATAGATGACAGCCTTTCTCTCTCCATGAATGTGAGCCAGGGGCTTCGCCTTCTTGTGAATACATTTCTAGCTGAAACTCTGTTTAACCCAAACTTATGCCTTCCCCAGCAAGAATATTACATTTGAAGCTTCTCATTAATACTTTTACAGTATCTTCTCCCTCCTCTTATACAAGACCTCTGTATCCCAAGAATTACAATTCTATAGTTGTGACATTCATTTTATCTTAAGGAGACATTCTGATCCATTTAAAATATTTCATTGATTTGTTTAAAGCATAATTAAGTAGATTTTGGTAGCTTTGGTAGGGTAAGAAGAAAGGGGTCAAACATGCGGAGAAAAGCCAAAACTCATTATTTTAGTGTAGACCCCGTGTGTATTTTAAATCGTCTTCTAATTTACTTGTCCTATTAGATGTGCTTAATGAAAGTTAGACTAAATGCATGCTTTTAATAAAACTCTCTAGCAGTGCTGTCATCAAAACTGGAATTTTTCCCCTATTTGTCTCTTACAGAGGACATAAAGATAAGATATTTGTGGTAAAGTGTAACCCACACCATGTTGACAGACTGGTCACGGTTGGGATCAAGCACATCAAATTCTGGCAACAAGCAGGTACTATTGTTAGAGTTTATCCTTTATGTGGTTGAAAGTTTTACTCCAGCTGGGAAAAAAACAAACAACCAACACCACTACCTAGCCTGTCTCTGCAATCTAAAATTAAAGTATGCCTAAAAGACGTTTGCTTCCAAGTAATGTTGAGCTGTGAAGCTTAGAACACTGTATATGATGCCATGCATATTCATCAATATCTAGAAAGCTTTGGGAAATGTTCTGCTGCGAAAATAATTATTTTTATATTCAGTCATCAGTTCTGAAAGCAGTGATTATGTTGGACTACTGAGCAGGAAATAATCACTTTAGTTGGGTGAATACAATTTTCAATATTTTGAGGGTTCTTTTATTTATAACTGCATTTAACACATGAATTAAATATGACACACAGTAAGTGGTCAAAATAAATCCTTGTGGTTTATAATGCTGATAATAAGGTTGAGTAAATAAGCAGGACAAAACATGGAAGGATATCTTGTTTTTCTCACTAATAGGTCAGACCTTTCATTGGGACTGTTTCTGAATTCTTAGTATCAACTTTGGTACGAAGCCCAATCTTTTACTGGGCAAAACATAAATAAGCTACTGTTCCAATGCCTTCTGCTTTTGAAGAAAGGGTCATGCACCCACCATGTCTGGAGAGCCAGCCTGCCTACAGTTGTCTGGAATGAGTCTGGGTTTCTCAGTGCTAATAAGAAAGTACAGGGAAATGTGAACATTTAAGGAACAAATCTGATGTACTTCTCCTACACAGTGATTCGTTTTTCTCACCCCAAAGTCACTGTGATAAAAATCGAGGCAAAACATACAGAAAACATGTTTACATTTTACATTACAGCCACTGCTGTTTTCACTTGCTTTGGTCAGCCTTCAGGAAGACTTGCCTGGCTCCCCAGGGCACTCAGTCACCCCTTCCTCTGGCTGGCACAGAACCTGCGCTGAACCATGGTTAGAGATGTATATCACGTTCTCTCCCCAGCCAGACCTTAAGTTCCTGAAGGCAGGAACTCTTCCTTTTCACCTTTATACCCCAGTGTCAACCACTGTGCCCGCCACAAAGTAGGGATTCAACAAGCGCTGAATTAATGCGTGAAGGAGAAAACCTTTTATAATGTTTTTGTTATGATGTTTTCTGCCATTTTAATACAGCTTTATGTAGACACACTGGGTTTTTCACTGAAGATAGTCATTCTAAATGTCCATAGAAGATGTCAGTTTTTCAAATGTAATAAATACTCTTGGTCCACTCCAGGTGGGGGCTTCACCTCTAAAAGAGGAATTTTTGGAAGTGTTGGAAAGTTAGAAACAATGATGTGCGTTTCTTATGGGCGAATGGAAGATCTGGTGTTCTCAGGAGCAGCTACTGGAGATATTTTTATTTGGAAGGAGATTCTCCTACTAAAGACAGTGAAAGCTCATGACGGGCCCGTGTTTGCTATGTATGCATTGGATAAGGTATAGTCTATTTTCCTCATTAGCTTTGTAAAAGTTTAAGTTAGGCTTAGGAAGGTCCACACCAAGAGGATGCCTGTGTGTAAAAACAGTACCCTCTGAATTAGGAAACAGTTATCATGAATGGAGAGGAGCACAAATGGTCTTTAAATTTCTCTTTTGTTTGTAATTATTTCTTTATGTGCAACTTCTCTATTCTGTTTTCACACTTTTTCTTCCTGGCTGTCACTCCTAAGGACTCCTTAAGAAGTGTTGGGATAAATGCAGACATGCAGTAGCCAGAGAGTCCTGGTAAATATTTCAACACAGTCTTCCACCTCGGTGGCACAATGAGCAGAGACCTGGAAGTGCCTGGTGTTTGAATTATTGTCCCTCCCATCAGTATGACCTGAAGTTATGTTGATAACCAGCTTGTTCCTGTGTAGACAGGCTCAGTTTTAACAAGCGTGTCAGAGTGAAGTCTTTTCACTGGCTGTGTTAGTTCTCCAGAGAAACCGAACCAGTAGGATGTAGATATAGATAGAGATATACACATACATATACATATACGAAAAGGAGATTTATTATAAGGAGTTGTCTCATGGAGTTATGGAGGCTGAGAAGTCCCACTGAAGCCATCTGCAAGCTGGAGACCCAGAAAAACCGATGGTGTAATTCAGTTCAAGCCCAAAGGCCTGAGAACCAGGGGAGCCAATGGTGTAAATCCCAGTCTGAGGGTGGGAAAAGATAAGATGTCCCAGCTCAGTCAGTGAGACAGGAAAAAGGAGGGTGATTTTGTCCTTCCTCTACCTTTTGTTCTATTCAAGCTCTCAATGAATTTGATGATGTCCATCTACATTGGGGAAGGCAGTTTACTGAATCTAGCAATTCAAATACTGATCTTATCGAGAAACACCCTCACAGACACACACAGGAATCATATTTAATCTGAGCACCCTGTGGCCAGTCAGTTGACACATAAAATTAACCATCACACCAGCTGTACTTCTACTCAAGCTCGTCTTTGTCCTGATCTGTCCCCTGCCTTGCAGTGTTGTTTTAAATAAAGATCACACTTGTGAATTCCCCAGTAGTCCAGCAGTTAGGACTCCCTGCTTCCACTGCAGGGGGCACGGATTCGATCCCTGGTTGGGGAACCTAAGATCCTGCATGCCTCGAGGCATGGCAAAAAAAAAAAAAAAAAAATCACACTTACCTTCAGTGCCCTTAAAACACTTTCTTCCATCAATTTGCCAGAAAATATCAATTTTTTGTTCACTGCTAGTTTGCTGATGGTACCAGTTTATGTGTGCTCTCTGACCTCCAAACAGTCTAAGCCACCTAATACACCTTATTAAGGTAAGCCTCATTTTGCATTTACCTGTTCCCAGGTAAATATGCTGATCCCGCTATGGAAGTAGGTTCTTGTTAGATGTGCAACTACAATGGTTGTTTTAGTGGTTAAGATGTTTTTCACTAGCAAATTTGTTTTTGATTAAACTTCAAGTTTTAGAAAAGATTAAAGCAGAATGCAAAGTTTTTTGTAGACTCAGAAGTTGATGTGATATAACTTGTTTAAACTCTTTTATTGCTTCGTAACTTAAGCTGAAAAATCATGGGAAATGGCAGGGATATCACATTATACTATAATGCATTTAAATTTAATTTGGAGAGTGAATGTCCCCAGGTTCACAATCTATAATAAGGATAAATAAGGATATTTAATATAATAAACTTCCAAAATATTATTTCCTTGTGAACTTCATTGAAATGAAGTACATTAGAAGTTTCTGAGGAAACAGAATGACTTACTCAGTAGTTTTCTTTAAAAAAAAAAAAAACAAACAACTTTTTAAAGAACAGTTTGTATATGTAAGTTGCCAAAAAGGAAAACTAATAAAGCCAAGAAATCATAAGCTTAGAACAAGAGTAGAAATCATCATCTAGCAAAAAATACCCAATGTTAAACTTCTTACTTCCCAGGTTTTGTAAAAATTCATCTGGATTTTAATTATTGTGGAAATTGTTGTGTATTGAACAAAATAGCAGGATAGTTTTGTTATGTGAAATACCTAAGTTACTCTTAATAATAAATAATGATGGTTTTCCTGGACGTAAATATTTTAAAATATTTAACAGTCATTTTTAATTGTGATGTTAATTCCAATTCATTCAGCAGGAATATATGAGATACCAGAAACTCTGCCAGGCTTTGAGGTTGGTCCTTTTCTGTAAGAATCCACATCCCAGTCAGGGGACTAGGCACAGAAATGACTGTCCATGATTCAGGGTGCCAAATTCCAGCCAATGGTCGGAAGAAAGTGAAATGGACACACAATGAGAAAGTGTTTAATCCTGCTAGAGAAATAGGGCAGAGAAGCTTCCAGAAAATATTATATTAATATTATGTTATCATTCAGATTTTTCAGCCTCCTATACTTAGGAAGAAAACACAAAGCTTCTTTACCCAAGGGGAGATCCTTTTGAGGCTGGGTGGGTACCTTGTCATTTTGATGTGTACATAATTCTTCTGATGTGTGCCTTCACAGGGTTTTGTAACAGGTGGAAAGGATGGAATTGTGGAACTCTGGGATGATATGTTTGAAAGATGCTTGAAGACGTATGCCATTAAAAGAGCAGCATTGTCAACCAGCTCAAAAGGTGCCACTCCCGAGTATGCAGTAGAAATCTTTCTGTTCCTAGAGATGGAAAAGATAGTACTAAGTTCTTGGAAAGCCATTACCAAATCAACTGTCTTTTTTTCTTCCACATTCAGAGCCCTTGGCTCCTGGTAGAAATATCAAGGATAATTGCCTAGTAACTAGTACTTTGGAACTATAAAAAGAGAATTTATATAATCATTACAATCATTTTATTTTTTATTATACTAAATATAACAGTATTAAATGCAATTTTTCCTCCTCAGGCTTGCTTTTGGAAGATAACCCTTCAATTCGTGCCATCACTTTGGGACATGGACATATCCTGGTGGGAACGAAAAATGGAGAGATCCTGGAAATTGATAAGAATGGCCCAATGACACTGCTCATTCAGGTACTGTGTTTGCACACATCCTAAACCACAATTCACACCAGAGCTGGAACCAGGGTGAGGCAACGGGGGGCACTTAGGGCACAAAATTTAAGGAGACACTCACTTTCAGGGTCAGGCAAATGCTGTATTAATCATTATTGCTTAATTATAACAAATTGTCACAAACTTAGCAGCTTAAAAGAAAAACATTCCTTATCTTATGGTTTCTGCAGGTCAGGGGTCTGAACACAGTTTAACTGGGTCCTCTGTTTAAGGTTTTGTAAGGCTGTAATAAGGGCCAGGGCTGTGGTCTCATCGGAGGCTTAACTGTGGAAGGATCTGCTCCAAGGTCACTCGAGTTGTTGGCAGAGTTCAGTTCGTTGGGGATGCAGGACTGAGGGCTTCCATTTCTTGCTGGCTATTGGCCAGAGGCCACCCTCAGCTCTCAGAGGCTGCCTATAGTTCCTCGTCACATGGGGTTCCCCAACATGGCTGCTTGCTTCCTCAAAGAGGGCAAGGGAAAGAGGAAAAACGGGTACTACTGTGCCTTTAAGTAACTTTAAATAACATAATCATATCATCACATACGTGTGATCATGAACATCCATCCCCTTTGCCATATCTTATTGGTTGGTAACAAGCCACAGGCTATACCGCACTCAAAGGGAGGTGGTTACACAAGAGTGTGAAAACCAGGAGCATCATGAGGGTCACCTGTCCAGCACATCTGACCTGATGCATACCTGCAGGCTTGCTGTATTAGGACTAGTCCCCAAAATCCCACTGAAAGGGGCCCTCTGATTTGCTACACCTGAGAGCAGGTCTGCACACACATCACGGATCAGGTTTTTAAAGTGCATGTTCTCAGGCCCCACCCTGGATATCCTGAATAAGAATCTGTGTTTTAAAAAAAGTTCTGTGTTAGAAGCAAACCTCAGAAGCTCTGTAGCTGATTGCTACAGGCAGCCCAGATTGAGAACTGTGCTGAGATGCATCCTTGAGGGGAGATTTCTTTATTCTGCAACTGCACTTGCCTTCGTTTTCCTTGACCATGACTTTTTATTTAATTTTATTGAAAGTTCAGTGTTTCTTTCTTTTTAATCCTCAGATTTTTGAGACTTTAAATTGTTAGCCACATGCTATATTGCTAAGTATGTTGTAAGATTTACACTACAATATGATTTAAATAGCACCGTAAGATTTAAACTCTACATTTTCAAATTTTAAAAAGTAAATAATAGCTGAGCTAATTTTGTTTAAGTGTGCCATTCTTTTCCTTTATCTCAGCATCTCTCTTTCCTCTTCCAGTCTGTCAACCATTTGCCATCTCCTCCTAGGTAGAACTCAGTAGTTCAGTTCAATCAGTTTGTTGGGCTCCTGCCAAGACCAGCCCTGTGCTCTGTGTGGTGGAATAGGGCTTACTCTAGGGGCTGACAGTCCTGTCCTGAGAGGTGGACACAGAGGGAAAGTTAAGGAATAGTAGAGGCAGCGTCGTTAAGACCATCAGCTATCCTGCTGTGGGGAGATTTCAGAACCATTTTTCTAGTTTCTGTAGCACGGCAATTCAATGTTACTTGGAATAGATTGCTTTTTTTTTTTTTTTAAGAGAATAGGTTGGGGGGATGAGAGAAGAGACAGGAGGTGAGTTCTGAAAATCCCCATTGTATACACTTTGCATATAATCAACTGTCAATTATGCAGCTGGTTATTATTAGCTTTAGGGTGGTCAGGAGGAAAGTAAAGTCCCAAGCTCATTTCCTTGTGCCACTCAAGAGACTTCCAGCCTGCCTCACTCACTGTCCGTTCCTATAGGATCCAGGAATTAAAGTACATAATCATATTAGATTAAAGAAATACCATTTTAAATCAATATATGATGCAGTGGTTTGAAAGGGTCTCAGAGCCCCACAGCCCTGTCCTCTGTGTGCAAAAGGACTCAGTCTGTAAAAGAGCCCCAAGCAGATCCAGTCTGGTGGAGAGCAAGGGAGGGCTCACACCTGACCCATCCTCTGACCGTGGCCTTGGGGGTGGGAGGCTTCTAAAGGGAAGGAAACTAGAAAACTGGGGGTGTCGGGTGCTCCAAATCTAATAAATTCAAAACCAATATCTACGCCCTTCTCAGATATTTGAATGTCAGCTGCATTGGGAACTTTGTATCTTCTGCCAAATTACTGTTTTGCTCAAACAGCTTCCCAGTTAAACCGGAATCTTCCAGTTTCTCTTTGGAGAGCCACCTGTTCCCCAAAGCGTTCCAACTACAAACACCTTTCAGATGCCTGTGTGTGGTCTTCCTTTTTGCTTTACTAAGCAAAGCCTTTTTATAATTAGCCACTAAAAGCAGAAATTCAGTAAACAATCTGGTCTGTTTTATTGTTCCGTATCTAATCGTTCGTTACACTGCTTTACTGAGTGATAAGTTAGAAAAATCAGATTCATTTTCTCCCTAATCGTTCATTCATTAAACACTGTTTCATCTCAGTTATTATTCTAAGCCAGTTAAGTGTGTTTGTGGTAAGATGTCGGCATGTGGAATTTGTCCAATGCCTATCAAGCCCCTTTCGGTTTTCTGTGCTCCACGGATAGAACAATTTGTGAATAAATGCTGACCCTGAGCTATACCCAGGACGCTTAAAATGAAAATTCAGCTCTCTCTAATCTGCTTTGCCAAATCTGTGCATTCAAAGAACTAGAATAGAATTAATTAACAAGAATATTGCTGTCCAATTCCTCTGACAGAGATAAGTGGTACCTCCAGTTTTTAGAATATGGTTTTATGGAAGAAAGTGGTTTGTGTCATTGTGACCAAGCTGTTTTATGAAAAGATACATATGTACTGTGTGTATTCAATGTCAAACAGGATAAAATGAGAGCAGTTCCTTATTTACTCGGATGTTTCTAAGTGGAAAGATGTTCGGCATCATATAAACAAAACTTAGGAGCAATGTGAGTCCCTACTTTGCTTTCCAAATGAATGCTTTAGCATCGCGCAGGCCCAGCTTTAGATTCAAGTTCAAGCGAAAAATTTATCCAGTACAATCACTTTGGCTCCAGGAAACTCAAACTGTGTTTGTTCATATTTGAACCTGTTTGGGACACTTGCGGGAAGGGCTAGCCGAGAAGCATGAACTGGTTTTTGTTGCCCCGTTTCCTCCCCTACAGGGGCACATGGAAGGAGAAGTATGGGGGCTGGCGGCTCACCCTCGCCTGCCTGTCTGCGCAACAGTGAGCGACGATAAAACACTGCGGATCTGGGAACTATCCTCCCAGCACCGTATGCTGGCAGTACGGAAACTCAAAAAAGGTGCGTGACATCCCCGTACACATCTGTAAAAGTATTTACACCCGAAAGTATTGGATTCATTTGTCTGTTCATCCAGCTAATATTTACTGGGCGCACCTATTACGTGCCCCCAGATATGCTGGGTGATGGGGATTTAGTGTTTGTTGCTACACATATAGCTAATCACCTGGAGAATCGTTCCAGAAGCCTGGCCAGATCTATCAGTGCCCAGCTGTATTCTTTATTTCCTTGCACTGCACAGACATTTGCCACCTGGGGGCAATATGTCCTTCCTCTTCTCATCTAGAACTGTGGGAGCCAGTTGAAACTCATCAGCTTATAAAGAATGCTGCTTATTTTTATGCCTGACAGTCTCCAGAACTGATTTTATTACTGAAAAATGAACGTCAGTTTAAAAATAATAGTTAATATCAAGAAACAAATAAACATGTATTGAACACCCATATGCACTAGAGCTAAGAGGTATACCGAGAAGTGCAAATTCAGCAAACATTTGTTGAGCAGCTTCTGTATATCAGGCGCTGGGGATCCCAGGATGAACAGTCCTCTCTCTATTGTCAGAGACGGACAAGATTTGAACAGATTCCCAGCAACGGCTGGTCCATTCAAATTGGGTAACCTGAGGAGCGTCTCAGAACGGGACTATTTGTAAAGGAGTGGGCAGGGTATAGGAAATGACCAGGGCTGGTGCAGCACGATGCAGCTAGTAACAGCCGGGTACCATTGCCAGCCCTGGGCCTGAAGGGACAAGAGGAGGGGCAGTTGCTGGAACCTTGAAAGTGAGAGCTGTGTGAGACGACAGCCTAGCAGGGGCTGTGATCGTCAGCCCGGAGGTTCAGCCAGCATGCAGTGACCCCACAGGGAGGCAGCCAAGGGAGCACATGCCCCAGCCTCCCTGTGCTTTATCCTTCCTTCCCTGTTACCCTCCCTCCAGTCTCCTGCTGCCCCTTGACCAAATGAATCAGAAGCCAGGGGGTGAGGGGCCCACTGATCGAGTCCAGGAAGGCCAGCTCCCAGCACAGAGCAGGGCGGAGAGTGGGTGAGGACAAACAAAAGATCTCTGGCACAAGCAAGGTATCGTGGAGGCTCAGGGTAAGGCCCACAGCCAGAGACAACTCCATCAGGGAGGAAACCTAAGAGCTGAGGCTCAAAGGATTTGTGAAAGTTAAGACAGGAAAGGGTGAGATTGGGGCCTGGCCCCAGAGTAGTTGTGCTAGGTACTTTTATAAATAGACATGGGGAGAGGATTCTAGGGGGATAAAATGAAAAGAGGTGTCAAGACAATAGTGACAATAATGACAGTGGCTAATATTGCTGAGCCAGTAACCGTGCTAGCACTTTGCCTTTGGTCTTCATGGGAACCCAATGAGTAAGGCCTTTTTTATTTCCACTTACAAATTATGAAGCTGAGGCATAGAGAACTTAAGTCATTTGCCCAAAGTTGCACAGCTAGTAAGTGATGGAACTGAATTCATACTCAGGCAGCGTGGCTTCAGAGAGCACACCTGTGGCCACTGCATGACGATGCCTCCCTCCACCATATTGCCTCTCTTCACACTGGACTTCTGGGTCTCAGTAAGTAGTGGAGCCAGGATTCAAACCCAAGTCTGACTCCAAAGCCCATGCTCTTACCCACTACAGGACTGAATAATTTGGCCACTAATTTGTATTGGGGAAATAACAGACCAAGTCCTCGCTGTGAGTGACTTGAATATCAGCCAATGGACTTTATTCACTAGGTTAAAAATTAGTTCAAAAGAACAACTAACACATCTGAGTTAGGATGGCCACTCAACCCAGTTTACAGCTGGTGTCCTGGTGTAATTATTAATAGCTCTCCCTTTTACTGTCAAGTGTCATCATTCGTACAATAAATTTTTTTTTTTGCGGTACGCGGGCCTCTCACTGCCGTGGCCTCTCCCGCTGCGGAGCACAGGCTCTGGACGTGCAGGCTCAGCGGCCATGGCTCACGGGCCCAGCCGCTCCGTGGCATGTGGGATCCTCCCGGACCGGGGCACGAACCCGTGTCTCCTGCATCGGCAGGCAGACTCAACCACTGCGCCACCAGGGAAGCCCACGTACAATAAATTTTTATGCTTAACCTAATCGTGCTGTCCCTCCTCAAGGGCTGGTCTTTCTGTTCTTTCAGCACTAGCACCGTGCCTGATTCATAGTAGGTAAATAACTGCAAAGTGAATGGATGAAGAAAGGAAGGAAGGTATTTTATACTTCAGATGAGCCAATTTAAAGTTGTTGGTGTGAATGTGGCTTTTCAGCCTGCTCTGAACAGTGGCTGAGGGGTGGGTGTGGAAGCTCAGTTTGGAATGCCTTAGCACAAGGCAGCACGACTGTCCCATCCTAGGGCTGTGCTCACCAAAGTCTTGACAATAAGAAGAACAGGGCTAGGGAGGGGCCTGTCCTTAAATAGGATTCTTATTAAATATACCCCCCACCGAGTCCATACTCTTCATGCGGAAATGTCTCCCTGTGACCCTACAAAGCAGTAGAAAGCATTGATCATGTAGCACCCTCAGCGCAGTTGTGCAGACACCCTTGGAGAGAGTGTCCATATTCCATTCTTCTCATGACAGAAGAGACAGGAACAAAATCTTCCACCTCTAGAATTATGGATTATAATCTACGGATCAGAGAATTAGAGTGACTAAAAGTAGAACAATAAGGTGCTCTAAAGTAAGTTTTTTGTGTAAAGCATGATATGAAAAAAATTAGTTTCCAGAAATTTTATTACAGAACTCCCATTCTTTTTTTTTTTTTTTTTTTTTTTTTTGGCGGTACACGGGCCTCTCACTGTTGTGGCCTCTCCCGTCGCGGAGCAACAGGCTCCAGAAGCGCAGGCTCAGCGGTCATGGCTCACGGGCCCACGGGCCCAGCCGCTCCACGGCATGTGGGATCTTCCCAGACCGGGGCACGAACCTGTGTCCCCTGCATCGGCAGGCGGACTCTCAACCACTGTGCCACCAGGGAAGCCCAGAACTCCCATTCTTAAGTATCACGTCTTGGGAGCAGAAATACTGGTTATATTAATCCTTTATTCCTTTTCCCCCTTCACTCTACTTGTCTTTTGAAAACTCCAGGTATTCAGATACGAAGAAATGAATGGATAAACCTCAAAGAAATTGAAAACTTATTTTTAATATTATAATCATTGTCCTTGGGTTTGGAGGGAAGAAATATTTTAAATTATGAAGTTTTAGTTCTTCTCACCAGGAGTGTTAATTTAAAGACACAGTCACGTGTCCATGAACACATGCACACTTCCCCATCTCTTCATTTGCTTTGTTTGGTAGCGAAGTCTCGGATCATAACAGTGCTCTTTGTGGATTCTTTTGTAGGTGGAAGATGCTGTGCTTTCTCCCCTGATGGGAAAGCCTTAGCAGTTGGGTTGAATGATGGGAGTTTCCTGGTTGTAAATGCCGACACTGTTGAAGACATGGTCTCCTTCCATCACAGAAAAGAAATGATCTCTGACATTAAATTTTCAAAAGGTGAAGATGACAGCAAAACTTTTTAAAATGTGTTGGGACAAAAAGTTACAAGAGTGGACCCTTTTTAAATATTTCCTTGACCTTTAACCCATTTAAAAATGCTAAGTCCCTGGAAGTAAATTCCCACATAAAATGTTTTGGTGTTAACCACTCATTTTTTCTTTATAGATACAGGAAAATACCTTGCTGTGGCATCCCATGATAACTTTGTGGATATTTACAACGTCCTTACAAGCAAAAGGGTTGGCATCTGTAAAGGTGCTTCTAGTTACATTACACACATTGACTGGGACTCTAGAGGTAAAGTATGTTGTGGCTTTTAAAATATAATTTCAGTTTTTAAAAATCATGTCCATTTATATACTGTTTCCAGAGCAAATGGCAGTTGAGTTTTAAAGAAAAACAGAGGGGGAAACTCACAACAGAACTGGTTGTAATTTTAGAACCCAGAGGCAACTGCTGTTAACATTTCGAGTATTTTTCCATATTATTATTATTTTTTATTATTACTACCACTACTACTACTATTATTACTACCACTACTATAATTATTATTTTAATTATTTTAAATTTTAATTATTTTAATTATAATAGAATTTTTATAAAATTATTATAATTATTTTAATTATTTTTGGCTGTGTTGGGTCTTCGTTGTTGCGTGTGGGCTTTCTCTAGTTGCGGCGAGCGGGAGCTACTCTTCATTGAGGTGCATGGGCTTCTCATTGTGGTGGCTTCTCTTTGTTGCAGAGCATGGGCTCTAGGTGCGCAGGCTTCTGTAGTTGTAGCACGTGGGCTCAGTAGTTGTGGCTCGCGGGCTTAGTTGCTCCGCGGCACGTGGGATCCTCCCGGACTGGGGCTCAAACCCGTGTCTCCTGCATTGGCAGGCAGATTCTTAACCACTACGCCACCAGGGAAGTCCCTATAATTATTATTAACTCAAGCCATTGAGTTTTAAGACTGCTGAAGATATATGCTGCCTTCTATTGCCATAGCTATTACTATAGCAAGCCACCACTTCACCTCTGAGTATGGCATGCTGTGTCCTTGCCTTGTATCTCCTCCTTACTGCATTCCCTTTTCTCCGTCTCCCAGAGAACTGCCCAAGAGGTTTCAAGTAATTTTCACCCTCCATTGGAGGTAGGAAGCTACATTCAGCTCACCTAGAGTTTCTCTGGTTTCTCTCAAAACTCCCAACCTACCCCCTACCTCCTCCAAGTCATGCCCACAGATGCCATGGGGATTTGTCTGTTTATTTATGTAACAAACCTAGCTCTTGCCATGTGCAGTCTTAAGCCAGAAAATGTGAAGAATCCAGAAGGGAGTGAGACGTGGTTCCTACTCTCTGCAAAGTTTATAACTTAGTGCGGGAGACATGCTTGTACCTGAACAATACAAGAGCACAGACTGGGTAAAGCAAGGGAGTAAGAAATGGTGGGTCACAGGGCAAGTGGTGAGCAGGGGCTCAGAGTGGGCCAAGCCAGCATTAAGTACCCAGGGTGCAGCATCCGTGCTCTAGGGTGGGTCACTTTTAAAACCCATCCCGGGGACTTGGCTGATGTTGGAGTCCAGGGCAGATTTGCTTTGGAACAGGCAGGGTCCCAGCTTTCAGAGAAGTTTTAGTCTATTGTGGTAGTAAGTGGTGTCTCTGAGGAAAGAGCTCCCGGGGGAATCCATGGAGCCTTCATAGGAGTGACCTTTGAGATGGATCTTGAAAGGTGAGTAGAAGTTCACTAGATGGCGACATCTGAGACGAGCGTCCCAGGCTCTGAAGGATCAGGGTGTGCCACTACGTGGAGGTGGGAAGAAGAATGGGGGATTAAGAAACAGTAATGCTGAGTGGCTGAGGGCGGGAAGGGCAGGGAATGCAGAAAGGCCAAGACAGCAAATAAAGGAATTGTTACCTCAAGCTAGGAAGTTTAACCCTGAACTTTATCCTGTAGGCATTAGGTAACTCTGAGAGATTAGAGTGAGGCATTCCCTACCATCCTGGGGAGGGTGAGTGAGGCTGGAGTTAGAAAGCAACTAAAATAAACCAGGAGAAAGAGATGATGAGGGCCTTGACCAAAAAGGGGTTATTTCAGAGATGCCAGAATATTTTATTTCACATATTTCTTGAAGTAGTGGCCGGAGACTGATCCTTCTGCCAGGCAGGGATTTACTTGTAGCTGTACTTGCTGCACCAGAATTTGGACTTAAGTGTTACAACCCGCAGGCGTTTTACACAGTGCAATAGATGGGAAGAAGGCATGCATATCATTTATTGTGAGAGGTGCAAGTCCCAAGAAGGGCAAAGGGAAATCAGATAAGTTCCTCTCACTTTTACGTCAGGACCATCCAGATACAGCGCTGAGGGCTTAGGCTGGCATGTATGATCAAGCAGGACACTGGCCTGGGAGACATCTAGGAACCAGTGACGTCCAGGGGGTGAATGGAAGCAGCTGCTTCTCACCCACCTTCTTTGATATTCTATGCTTTATCGTTTTTTTTGAAAAGCAAGGATTTAAAAAAAAAAAAAAGCAAGGATTTCACCCTGTTTGTTCTCTGGCTAAATCCCTAGATATGCCCCTTTGTGAGAAAGCTTTAGAACAGTGAGGGTCATCTTTATGCATATGTAGAATAGAGTGTGGTGAGTTTTATTTAGAACCCAACACACACACACACACACACACACACACAACAGCTGACATAATACGTGAATCCCACCACTATGTTGACCATTAGGGGGTTAAAACCAATTATTATTTACATTTTATGGAGTGAAGGACCAAGAGAAATTGGGGCATAGGAAGAATATGTTTTGATTGGGAAGATTTCTTTAAAATTATTTTTGATTGTGGTAAAGTACACCTAGCATAAAAATTTACTATCTTAACCATTTTGAGTATAGAGTTCAGTGGCATTAAATACATCCACATTATTGTGCAACCACCATCCCCATCCATCTCTAGAACTCTTTTCATCTTATAAAATTGGAGCCCTATACCCATTAAATAGTAATTCCCCCTTCTCCATCCCCCAGACCCTGACAAGCACCATTCCACTTCATGTCTCTATGAATTTGACTATTCTAGGTACTTTTTATAAGTAGAATCATACAGTATCTGTCTTTTTGTAACTGGCTTATTTCATTTAGCATAATGTCCTGAAGGTTCATCCATGTTGTAACGTGTCAGAATTACTTTCCTTTTTAAGGCTGAATACTATTCCATTGTGTGTATATACCATATTTTTTTTTGTTTCTGCTTTATAACACAGTGAATCAGTTATACATATACATGTGTTCCCATATCTCTTCCCTCTTGCGTCTCCCTCCCTCCCACCCTCCCGATCCCACCCCTACAGGCGGTCACAAAGCACCGAGCTGATCTCCCTGTGCTATGCGGCTGCTTCCCACAAGCTATCTACCTTACATTTGGTAGTGTATATATGTCCATGCCTCTCTTTCGCTTTGTCACAGCGTACCCTTCCCCCTCCCCATATCCTCAAGTCCATTCTCTAGTAGGTCTGTGTCTTTATTTCTATCCTACCCCTAGGTTCTTCATGACACTTTTTTCTTAAATTCCATATATATGTGTTAGCATACAGTATTTGTCTTTCTCTTTCTGACTTACTTCACTCAGTATGACAGACTCTAGGTCTATCCACCTCATTACAAATAGCTCAATTTCATTTCTTTTTATGGCTGAGTAATATTCCATTGTATATATGTGCCACATCTTCTTTATCCATTCATCCGATGATGGACACTTAGGTTGCTTCCATCCCCAGGCTATTGTAAATAGAGCTGCAATGAACATTGTGGTACATGACTCTTTGAATTATGGTTTTCTCAGGGTATATGCCCAGTAGTGGGATTGCTGGGTCATATGGTAGTTCTATTTGTAGTTTTTTAAGGAACATCCATACTGTTCTCCATAGTGGCTGTACCAATTCACATTCCCACCAGCAGTGCAAGAGTGTTCCCTTTTCTCCACACCCTCTCCAGCATTTATTGTTTCTAGATTTTTTGATGATGGCCATTCTGACTGGTGTGAGATGATATCTTATTGTAGTTTTGATTTGCATTTCTCTAATGATTAATGATGTTGAGCATTCTTTCATGTGTTTGTTGGCAGTCTGTATGTCTTCTTTGGAGAAATGTCTATTTAAGTCTTCTGCCCATTTTTGGATTGGGTTGTTTGTTTTTTTGTTATTGAGCTGCATAAGCTGCTTGTAAATTTTGGAGATTAATCCTTTGTCAGTTTCTTCATTTGCAAATATTTTCTCCCATTCTGAGGGTTGTCTTTTGGTCTTGTTTATGGTTTCCTTTGCTGTGCAAAAGCTTTGAAGTTTCTTTAGGTCCCATTTGTTTATTTTTGTTTTTATTTCCATTTCTCTAGGAGGAGGGTCAAAAAGGATCTTGCTGTGATTTATGTCATAGAGTGTTCTGCCTATATTTTCCTCTAAGAGTTTCATAGTTCCTGGCCTTGCATTTAGGTCTTTAATCCATTTTGAGCTTATTTTTGTGTATGGTGTTAGGGAGTGATCTAATCTCATACTTTTACATGTACCTCTCCAGTTTTCCCAGCACCACTTATTGAAGAGGCTGTCCTTTCTCCACTGTACATTCCTGCCTCCTTTATCGAAGATAAGGTGACCATATGTGCATGGATTTATTTCTACGCTTTCTATCCTGTTCCATTGATCCATCTTTCTGTTTTTGTGCCAGTACCCTACTGTCTTGATTACTCTAGCTTTGTAGTATAGTCTGAAGTCAGGGAGCCTGATTCCTCCAGCTCTGTTTTTCGTTCTCAAGATTGCTTTGGTTATTCGGGTTCTTTTGTGTTTCCATACAAATTGTGAAATTTTTTGTTCTAGTTCTGTGAAAAATACCAGTGGTAGTTTAATAGGGATTGCATTGAATCTGTATATTCCTTTGGGTAGTATAGTCATTTTCACAATGTTGATTCTTCCAGTCCAAGAACATGGTATATCTCTCCATCTATTTGTATCATCTTTAATTTCTTTCATCAGTGTCTTATAATTTTCTGCATACAGGTCTTTTGTCTCCTTAGGTAAGTTTATTCCTAGATATTTTATTCTTTTTGTTGCAATGGTAAATGGGAATGTTTTCTTGATTTCACTTGCAGATTTTTCATCATTAGTGTATAGGAATGCAAGAGATTTCTGTGCATTAATTTTGTATCCTGCTACTTTACCAAATTCATTGATTAGATCTAGTAGTTTTCTGGTAGCATCTTTAGGGTTCTCTATGTATAGTATTATGTCATCTGCAAACAGTGACAGCTTTACTTCTTCTT